GAGTGCTGAGTCAAGGGGGTTGGAAGTAGCCCGGGGCTGAGACCAACAAGTCACCCGCTCCCTTCCAGTGCCAAATCCCACCCCTGCCCAGTCTCCCTTTCTCTGCCCAGCACAGTGGGCAGGGTGCTTTGCTATTAACTGTAAAGACTACCTTGCACTTAGGAAATGCCTCACTCCGTCGGCTGGGGGCGGGAGTGGCACACAGAGAATATCTCTGCAGGCTTATCTGCTCTTACAGCCTTCCTTTGCCAGCTGCTATCAGCTACTGTCAAAAACAAGGCCTAGGGCGATGACATCTGTCCTTGTACAGCTGTGCCGCTGCTACGTGGCAAATTTATGGCACTGTTCTTCAAACAAGATAGAGGTGATAGTGGAAAGAGTCCAGACTAGCAGAAGGAACTAGAAAAGGTCTTTGGCACTGGGTATGGTTACAGGAGGTGGTATGGGGCTGCTGAGGAGAGACATTGAAAAGTGAATTAGTTCCTTCTGGAAAAGAAGAACTATAACCACCCTCAGTGTGCCATGGCTGTGAGATGGGGACAGCAATCAGCTGCTCTCTGTGCCCTCTAGGGCAGGACATGCTGCCATGGGTTAGATCTGTGGGCTGAAGAATTGGGTTTTACATTGGGGCAGAGCCTGGGGGCGCCTCATGTACTTTCTATCACTTGGAGCATTGCTGCTGCCTCTGTGGTGCTGGTGTAGTGGCACAAGGGTGGCTGAGCAGGGCAGAGAGAGCAGCAGGAGCAGTGCAGGAGGCTGGGAGCTGTGTCTGCTTGGCTGTGGATCTTAGCAGTGGTGCAGCTTGACTTACCTGGAGAGGTGCGTTAGGGCAGCGTGTTTTTGAGCTTGGTGGCTGCTGTTGGGCAAGTAGTTCCCATGGGTCTGCAGCCATTCTCTTAGTTGCTGGAAAGACATGGAAAGGAGGGATGGGGAGAGAAGAGGTGCTGGGACGAGCTCTGTTCTTGACTCTGCCAGACAAGGTTTCAGCAGCAAAATGGAGCTGGAGTTGCCTGTCAAATATTTTTTACCAAGCACCAGACTAATGTTGTTTGGGATGCTCTCACTTGGTTCTATCGTGCTGAGAAGTGAGGTGGGAGCTGCTGAAGTCATCTGCCAGCAGCCATCAGTCTCTGGCCTTTTCAAATGCTTGAATGCTAAGGCACATCCGTGAGCGCAGGGAAAACGAGCTGAGATGAGCTGCAGTTCCACCATATTGCTGCTTCCCTACCCTGGTCAGTGCCTTCAGGTTCCTGCTCACGTTAATATGTTGTCCATCGTCATCTCGAGGGGAGCTGTGGTGTGGGAGAAGCTGGATCAGTGCTGACGAGCTCTGGAGGAGGAGGATGCTGGTTGGAGGGGAGCAAAAGACTGGGAAGATGTGGTGTTTGAAGAGGCATCTGAAAGGGCTGCCTGAGGTCCTGTAGGTGAGGGGAGAGTGCCTCTGCACTGACTGCTGGTAACTCCCCTTGACACAGTCGTGCTGGGGAAGTGCTGCTGGGCCTTGGACACTCACATATCCTCTTCCTGCTTTGGTCTGGCTCTGCTGCCCGTTTGTTCGCTCCTCTGTCATCCCTGCCTTTTTATAAGGCCTGTCCTACCTTCATAGCTGAATTTAAACTTGAGGGGCTGAGCAAACACCAAGATTCAATGGGCTTGTGGGGCAAAGGGGAAGGGTGTGAGTGGACTGTGTCATATGGCTCTAAAACCCTTTTGCTGCATTTTCTGTCCTAGATATTGCTGTGGAGTTGCTGCAGAAAGTGGCTCCCAGCCCTATCCGTAGACTCCAGAAGAAATACGTGTCTCATGTATCTCGGTAAGAAGCAAAACCGGTCCCTTCCTGTCCCATGTCAGAACCAGGAGCTCTGGTCTTACCTATGATTCACTTCTGTCCCCCTGGGCCAGCACTGACTTTGTGCTTAAGCCTGATGAGTGTCAGAGAAGGTGGGGGCAGGTGACAAGGACAGCAGGCACAGTGGCTTCCTGACACATCCAGGCTTTCCTCAGGTTGGTCCTGCTCTCTGGGGTGTGCTCTTGTTACTGGGAGTCTGTACTGGCTGGATCTGCAGCTCACTGGGCAGCCACGTCTGAGCCCAGTGCCTGCTCTTGGCAGGCAAGCCCTTACAGCATACCTGGCTGCAAGCAAGGCTGCTCAGTTTGGAGCTGTCTGTGCCTGGCAACAGGAGCTGGGGCTTTCTGCTATCCAGCCTGCATCCCTGCCCTTTATGACGCTGCAGCTCAAGACAGCCAGCATGGAGCTGGAAAGACTGGGATGTATCTAGCTGTCTGTTTACTAAACTCTGCTCCCTCTACCTACATGGGGAAGGAGCAGCCAAGTTGTGCTATGGAGGCTGGGATGTGTGTAGCATGTGGATAACCTTTGGGTTGTTTGTTGCTCTGTGGCACAGGGAAGCTTGCATCTCACCCTGCTCCATGATGCTGGCACTGGTTTACATTGAGAGACTCCGGCACCGGAATCCTGAATACCTCCAGCAAATCTCATCTTCAGACCTCTTCCTGATCTCCATGGTGAGTGGTGTGGGCTGGGGGGTAACTGGGTTGGAGGGAGGCCTGGAGGAGTGCAGGAGGGACTGAGATCCTGTCCTTTGTGCTGCTTTTAGATGGTTGCCAGTAAGTACCTGTATGATGAGGGTGAGGAGGAGGAGGTGTTCAATGACGAGTGGGGAGCAGCAGGGAAGGTGGATGTCCAGACCATGAACACGCTGGAGATGAACTTCCTGAGCGCCATTGTAAGTGGGACTGTCACTGTGGCTGACTCTACTCCCATGAAGGAATAGAAGGACGTGTCTGGGTGCTGGGTGGCCTGTCCTGACTGCCCTGACCTTTCACTGTTGTCCCCACAGGACTGGAGTCTCTACACAGATCCCCGGGAGCTGTTTGAAGTGCTGAGTTGGCTGGAAGGACGGTAGGTGGTGGGGGTGGGTGGATGAGAGTGAACCTTTCATTCACCAGCAGCCGTGGCTCTGCCCCTGCTCAGAGCTTGCCCTGCTGCTGTGAAATAAGAGGTTGGGGTACCCAGGAGCCTTCACTAGGCACTGCAGCTGCTTTCTACAGACCTTTAGCAAGGTCTTCTCCAAGCTTGCCTGGGCTGAAGCTTCTTTGATGGGGAAGGCTTGTGCCACATCCACCATTCCTTTTCTTTTTTTGTTTGTTTTTTGGTTTTTTTTTGTTTGTTTGTTTGTTTTGTTTTTTGGTTTTGGGGTTGTTTTTTGTGGGGTTTTTTTTTTGGGTTTTTTTTTTTTGTTTTGTTTTTGGTTTTGGTTTTTTTGTTTTCCTGCAGTGTGGCAGAAAAGCAGGGCATGTGGCGTGGCTGGTTCACCTACACGGATGTGTGTGTCCTCATGGAGCAGTCCATGTGGCAGCATGTGTTGGGCCAGTTCTACCAGCAAGTGGTGAAGGTAAGAGCATGACACAGCAGCTACTTGCAAGAACATGGGACCCATGGGTTTGGAGCAGAACCCTGTTTCACACTGGGAGCAGCAGCTTGGTTTATTTCCTGTTGAAAAGGGAAGCTGTCAGAAGCCAGGAGATGTTGATTTGCAGCTGTGCTGCCTGGGGCACTGGAGCCTCGTGCTGGATTAGCCTGTGCTCTGTGCTGGACTGCAGCCCCGCAAGTCATAGTGCAAGGTCATAGTGAGAACTGGGTGCTGACTGGGGATTTAAACATGAGCTGTTAGGATTTTAGTTGGGGAGCTTTGGTTTGTGGTATTTAGGCCCTCTTTGAACAGGCTGTGAGCCACCTGCTGTTACCAGCATGGCTGACTGCTCCCCAGCATCCTGCACTGGTGGTGCTGTTTGCCATCACAGCTGCTGAGTCACAGTTGGCTGTGGGGTGCTGCTGCAGGGTCTTGGTGTAACCGTTGGCTTCCCTGCAGCTGGCCTGTCTCCTGGGCGTGGTGTACCTGACTGGATTTGCTGCTGTCTTTGCCTCTGTTACCATGGTGCACCGGTCTGTGTGCATGAGGAGCATCAGCCCTGCAGCCCCCCGGCCTGCGCTCTTCCCTGAGGAGGGCAGCTGCCAGCTGGATGCCCAGCCAGCCCCAGCCCTTGACCAGCCCCAGCCCGAGTTGCCTGACGTCTCTCCAGCTAGCAGCACCCACTGCCCCAGGGAGAACAAGACAACTGAGGAGCCGTGTCGAGGGGGTGTCACGGCGACTGCGCTCTACCTGTGGGGCAGCATGACGACGGCTCTGTCCTACCCAAAGGCACCTGATCTAACTCAACACAGGAGCCCCCTGCAAGGCCCCTTCCAGAGAGTACCCACTGCCTGTGAGAAGTCAAACCGCACCACCGCTGCTGCAGCCCCAAGCCAACCTGGCCCCTTTGGACTCGCCATGCTCCCAGTTCCCCCAGCGCTCCACTGCCATGTCTGCTCAGCCGGTGTGGGCCCCACGTGGGATGCAGCCCCCAGCTGCAAGGACTGGCTGGACCCCCTGGGGCTGAGGCAGTGCTCTTTGCACACTGCCATGGATCTCAGTAGAATCAAGAGTTTCATTTTTCCCAGCTAGGAGCGTGGGCCAGCAACCTCTTTCCCCTTCCCTCCTAGTGTGGCACAATTCACTTCCTTGCACTTTGGGACTCCTAATCCCTGGGGCTGCATGGGGCTGGAGGCCCCTGCGTTACTTCCAAACCAGCATTTGTGTGTTTCCCTCCCAGGGCAGGGGTGTCTTTCACTTTGGGGGCTGCTGGGACAGGTTGGGGCAGAGCTGTTTTGCTGTTGGGGTGCTAGGGTGGGAACCTACTAGTTGGAGTGTAAAAATGGGGTGCTCTTGGGCTGGGGTGCTAGAGCAAGGGAGGTTGTTGTACTTCTTCCTAGAGCCAGTGGGTGGCCCTTGGTGGTGCTGGGCAGAGGTGGCATGTGGGATGTAGGATGCTGGGGCTGTGTGTGCTGGTTGGAGGGGCTGGGGCAGTGATCCCAGGGGCAGGGTGCTCCCAGGAGGAGGTGGGGTGCCTGGGTTAGGGAAGAGGAGATTGAAGGATGGGAGAGTGAGTGGCCCAAGCAGGCTGGCTATAGCAGCAATTGCCCTTGGGGACTGCCAGGCCACTTCTTGGGAGGTGCAAGGGTCACACCAAGAGGGGACCGTGATGTGTCTGTGCCCTGCTGGGCTTGGAGGCAGTGCAGTGTGGTTAAGACCGATCTTCCTTATCCTGCTTGTGTTTGGTGTTTTGAAATTGGGGTGCTCTGTGACCACATCCCAAACCTCAGTTCTCGATGGCTGTAAACTAACAGTGCCTGACTGCTCCTCGGGGTGGGGAGAAAGCACCTTGTCTTGCTGACCAGCCCAGCTTATTTTGCCCCTTCTTTTTACTGTGGATTTTACACCTGTTTTTCACTCTTTTGTAGATGCAAATCTCTTCCAATAAAAATAGTTCTTGCTGTGCACATCCTCATCCTGCTGAGTTGTTCTGCGCTGGCAGCGTGCATATCCCAGTGAGGAGCTGTGCTTGCTCTCTGAGCTGGTGTGCAAGACAGATCCTGAGTGCTGTCAGTGAGCCTAGGAGCGCTGTGAGCCTGTCCCACAAGGCTCAAGAGGGACCAGGCTCTTTGGTGACAGAAGGGACATTAGGTCTGATGCCTGGGGAAGGCAGGGGAGAGGAGGCTCCCCATGCTTGGGAATGTGGAGAATGTGTGGTCTCCACTGCTCTTTGCTCTCCAAAGTCTGTCCAGTTAATGAATGAGCCCCAAACGACAAGGGCTTGGCAGGGTCACTGTTGTGGTTGGTGGGCGCTGCCCTGTGACAAAAACATGAGCATCTTCCTGTCTGTGCTCCCTTGGGAGCCTTCCTAGCCAAGTGGACAGCTCTTGTCCCTGGCATCCTTGTCCAGCGTCATTATTCAGAGCCCTTCTCCTAGGAGCAAGGGAGACGTGGTAGATCCCCATCAGAGACCCTCCTGGGATGGGCATCGTGCCTACAGAGGGAAAAGGCAGGACCTGGGGGCAGCTTTTAAGGGGCTCTGCAGGGTCTGATGATGGGGAAGGGCTGGACCAGGAAGGTAGGGGGATGCTGTGCTGGGGAGGAACGAGCACAGGCAGACGATCCTGGAGCTGGAAGATGCTGCTGGTAGGGATGCTCCAAGCACATGAAGGAAGAGGTGTTTGTTCTGTGGCCCTGTCTGTCCCTGCACTGTGCACCATGAAAGGCAGGGATGGGACCTAGGCTGTGGGCAGTTTGTACTATCTAGTGTCCTGGTTCTTCTGGTGACAACCCAGAGTGACACTTGCATTCCTAGCTGCAAGGGCAGGTTACTCACCAACTCAAGTTAATGGCTAATCCTGAGGCAGTTCCTGCAGAAGGTGGAAGTTCAGCCCTGTGAGGCTTGTGAGGATCCCTTGGGGAGCGGGACCCTTCCCACCTCTTCTGCCCTGCAAACCAGGAGCAGAGTGGGGAGGCAGGAGCATGAGTGGGGGCCATGGCAGAGTGTCTGGTGCCAGGAGCCCTGTGCTTGCATCCTGCTCACTGCAGAAGATGTGCTCTTGGATGCTGAGCTGTTGCTTAGCCCTTCAGGTAAGGGAGGACCGTGATGAGCAGCCAGAGATCAGAGATGGGGCAATAGGCAGAGGGCTGGGATCCTTGCAAGTGGCAGGGCAGGGGTTGCATCCTGCCAGGCAAAGTGTGCATGGGGCTCTGGCTAGGGTGTGTGGAGAGGGCAGTGGTGGACACTGCTAGGGGGGTGTTGCTGAGCACGCATCCACCTGGGGGGACAGAAATGGGGGCTGCAGCAAGTTGCGACTACCCTCTCTCTTCTCTGCACAGCACCTGGCTGTGCAGGCCTCCTTGCTCTGCATCTTCCACCTCCTCCTGCTGCCCACCCTGCCCGAGGAGCCACTCCACAGCCAGGCCATCAGCGAGCTGCTGGCACGCAGCCTCTTTGCCTGCGGTATCTCCACGGTGCTACAGACCACCCTGGGGAGCTGGTGAGAATGGGGGGACAAAGCAGATGGAGGAGGGTGATGCCATGGTAGGGCATGTCTCTGCCCCCTCCTAGGCTGTGGGAAGACAGGCTTTGCTGGAGGTGGGAAAGGGCACTAGGATAACCCCTTGCCCTGCATCTCTGCACAGCTCTCTCCCTCCCTGCCATCACTGCATCCTCCTCTCTCATGCATCCCTCTAGCAAAACTGCTGTGCTTTCCCTCTAGCTCCTCACTGCCATGCTCCAGCATCACATGCGGCACCTCCAGCCCATCTGATGCCTGTGCTGCCCATGCTCTGCAGGGGCTGGGTGTGTGCTTTGGCAAAAGCCCCCAACTTCTGTGCACATCCAGTGTGCTGCTGCTTGGGATGTGCTAAGGGCACATTTGGGATGTGAGGTGACCTCCTGCCATTCTGGGGTTCTCATCTCCTACCCTTCTGATCCCTCAGTCCACTGGGAGGCGGGGCTTTGGGAGCAGCCATGTCCCCTCTTTCCTCCCTCATGTGCCCTTGCTGTCCCCTTCCCCAGGCTGCCGCTGGTTCACATCCCATCCTTCGAGTACCTGGTGCCTGCCATGGTGCTGAGCTCCCACCTGTCCCTTGGTGCCAGCATGGACAGAAATGGTGAGCACAGCCCTGGAGCCTTCATCCCACAGGACATCCCATGCCAGTGCCAGGGGATGTGCTCAGCACATAGGGTGGGGGTGAGGAGCAGCAAGGAGTCCTGCCTGCTGGCTCCTCTGGTGGTGGTGCACAGCACTGTGCTCTCCCCTGACAGCACCTGGTTGCCACCTGGTCAGGGCTTATAGGAGTGGGGATGCTGGAATGCTGGCCCTTCTCTGGCCAGCAGCCTGCATGCTGTGTGCTCTTGGACCTGGCTCCAAAAGCCCAGTGTCCATGTGCATCACATCGTCCAAAATTCCCTCCTAGGCACAGCCGTGGCCAGTGTGTGCCCTGCACCACACTGCATTGTTGCAGGGAGCTGGGCTGCCCCGCTGCGAGAGGTGGGTGCTCAAGCACTGGGCTGGGAGTCCCGATTCTCAGATGCCACCTGTATCACTTCATCCCCATCCCTCCTGGGGATTACCATCAATAGGGGAGAAACAAGGGGATGTGCAAAGGCAGTGGAGTTCATGGTGTATGTGGGTGCATGTGTTCCCTTGGGCCTGGGATGAACAGAGCACAGGGAACAAGTAACACTACCAGTGTAGTGGGAGTGTGTCCAAGGGAAAGTGTTGGTCTGCTCTCCATGTATTCTACCGCATGGGTCCCATCATTTTCTCCCGCAGGTCTCTGGAGCTGTGCTGGTCTCTGGGCTGGTTCAGCTGGTGCTGGGACTGTCTGGTGTGTGCGGGTGGGCAGCTCGGCACTGTGGGCCCATGGTCCTGGCTCCCAGCCTCTCCATCATCGGGCTGTCTGCATACAAGGAGGCTGCTTTCTTCTGCTCCACTAACTGGGTGGTAGCTCTACTGTATGTGGGCTTACCTTCACCATGGAGATGGGAATGGGGTATCCTCACAGTGCATGGCACGCTTTTGGGGCCCTGTCACCATGATGCTGCATGGTGACCTGTCCTCCTTCTCCTAGGCTCATGCTCCTCACTGTCACCTTCTCCCAGCACCTGGGGTCTTGCTGCCTGCCCTTCTGTGCCTGGCCCCAGGCTTGGAGAGGCTCCATTGAGCCACCTGTGCCCACCCTGCGCACATTCTCGGTACTATAGCTTGTCTGTTCCTGCTCCCTCTGCTGCACCCAGGCTTCTCTCTGAGCCTGGTTCTTTGGTGTGGGGTTAGGTAGGACTTAGTGGCCCTAGAACAGAGCTGGGAGCAGAAACAGGGGTGAGAAGTCCTGGTGCAGCTCCCAGGGTGTGGGTGCTGCTGGGGGAGCATAGGGGACCTGTGTTCAAGGGTGTAGGAGCAGCAGAGCCTGGGGTGCTCCCTGCAGGGGTAAGGGGAGATGTAGCATGGCTCCCTGGGAGAGGTGACAGGGCAAGGACCTGTTGTCTGGGGCACAGCAGATGGATGGGGTGCTGGCCAGGGCAGGCAGGGGAGGAGGGTGCCCTGCTGAGTGTCCCCTTGCTGCCTTGCAGGTACTGCTCCCATTTGCTGGTGTCTGCATCATCTGTGCCATCCTCAACCATCTCCACATCCCCTGGGAATCACTGCACCTGGCCATGGCACAGCTGTCCTGGGCCAACAGCAGCTTCCATGCCCCTTGGGTCCGCATCCCCTATGCAGGTGGGGGCTAGTAAGGCTGCATGCAGCCATCAGCCTTCAGCCAGGTCCTCTATCACCCATCCTTCTTCTTCTGCTGCAGGCGAATGGGGGTGGCCACTGCTCACCCCCCGGGTGCTGGCAGTGGGCATTGCCATGGCCATCGGCTGCAGCATGAACTCGGTGGGCTGCTACGTGCTGTGCAGGAGGCTGCTGCGAGCCCCCCAGCTGCCCCCTGATGCCTGCAACCGGGGGCTCTGCACAGAAGGGCTGGGCAGCCTCCTGGCAGGGCTGCTGGGTGCCCCGGGGGGCACAGCTGCCAGCATTGCCAATGCCTGCACCATCGGCCTCACACAGGTATGCCCAGGGTTGGGAGGAGGGTCAGCAGGGGATGGAGAGGTAATGGACCGGGAAGGGTGAGGCACCTGTAGCATCCAAGCTGTCACTGAGTTATCACTGGGAAAGGCAAGTCTATATGGCAGGATGTGGCGGGGGACAGAGTGGGGAGCGATGGTCCCTATCCTCACTTTCCTGTCCTCCTTTCTGCCAGACTGGCTCTCGCCTCTCGGTGCAAATAAGTGCGCTGGCGTGTGTGGTGCTGGGCATGTCCCCGAGGCTGGCAGGGCTCCTCACCCACATCCCGCTGGCTGTTCACGGTGGGTACCCTGCTATTCCCCTGCACCACGGTGCCCACAGCCTGCCTGGCGCTGCCTAACTCCTGGCCCTTGCAGGAGGGGTGCTCTGCGTCACCTATGCCGTAGCTGTGGGCACAGGGATCTCCTACTTCCAGTATGCGGATATCGACTCGGGGAGGAACATCTTCATCGTTGGCTTTGCCATGTTCATGGCACTGCTGGTGCCGCGGTGGTTTGGCACGGCTCTGTCTCACCTGGCCACAGGTAGCAGGGACATTCCCCAGGAAAGGCAAAGCCTCAGGTCCTGGGGCATGGTGACCACACTTCTCCAATATCCTGGGAGGCTGGGTCTGCTCATGGCAGCAGGCAGCTCCCTCTCCAACCCCTGGATCTGCCGTGGCAGCTCCTGGCCCTTTCCTGCTTGGGCTGGGATGTCCAGGGTGATTGTGGCACCATCTCTGCAGGCTGGGTGCCCCTGGACCTCCTCTTCCTTTCCCTGCTCACGGCACCTGTTGTCTTAACTGGCTCCTTGTCATTTCTCCTGGAGAACACAGTCTCAGGTGGGGGGCTGCTCTAGGTACTCTGCATGAGCCACTGCTCTGAGGGCTGCATCTGGCTATGGGACTGTTCCCCAGCCGCCAGCTCTGCCTGCAGGCAGCCCTGCTGGGGGTCCTGGGACTGGTGTGGGTTGGGACAGTGCAGCTGGAGAAAGGGGCTCCCATCACCCTGCTCACTGCTGTGCTTGCAGGAACCCTGGAAGAGCGAGGGTTGCTCTCTGATCTGGGGCTATGGAGAGCTGCGTCAGGCAATCGACATCCCCATGGACAGACAGGCAAAGCCAGCCAGGCATATGGGCTTCCTGCTGGGCTGAGAAGGCTCCTGCCATCCTCCTGCAAAGCCTTCCCCTGCTGCTTCCTCTGCCCGAGGAGCAAGGAAGAGGAGGAGAAGGAGGATGTGGAGGAGGGCAGCTGTGTCACTGAGGAGGGGACCACTGCCCCAGGGGAAGGGATGCACCTGCTCCCCAAACCTGGCTCAGGGGAGCCACAGCTGCCCAGGAGGACGAGTGAGATGGAGATGGCTGCACGGACACCACGGCCTGACTCTGCAGCATGCGGACACCTCATGGGGGACCAGCGCTGTGCCCCAAAGGCAGCTTGTGAGCCACATTGCTCCTAGTTTCTGAAGCCCACATGGACTGAAGGGACTTGTGCTTCCACACTCCCAGCACAAAACTCATTTCCCTGCTTTGGAGTGAGCTATAAAACCTTCAACCAACTTTGCTCTTTCCAGTGATTTCCTTTCTAGTCAGGATTTGCCTAGGAGATGCTAGCCCACCATCCCTTGGTACCCTGAAGACTGCAACTACAGAGGGCCTGGGCACCTGGTGTCACTGCAGCTGGGGATATGGGTGCCCCTAAAGCCCACCATCAGCCTGTGGCCATGGTTGGGGAAGGGCTCAAGGGCTCAGTGCTTTGACCATCCCCAAAGGGCTCTGCTGACCTGCTGGCACCATCCTCAGGAAGGGCTGGGTCTCCATCTCCTCCCTGCTGCCACCACCAGTCTGAACCAGCCTGCAAAAGCCCAGCAGTGGGGCAGGAAAGGCTGGGGCTTTGCAGCCTTTGAGTGATGCAACCTCGCCCTGGGTGCAAGCTCAGAGGAAGGACAAACTTGGGCTGGGATGATGGTGGAGCTCATCCATGGGAGCACCCTAACATGGACCCTGCACCCATCTGGCCCTGCACTCCAGCTGTGCCAAAAGCCCGACTGGGTCCAGCACCCTGCCTGGGTCCTGAACCCCAAATCCTCCTGCATCCTAACCTGGGCAGGCAACCCCATCCATCCTGCACCCTGCCTGGGTCCGGCACTCCAAAGCCCCTGCCTACTCCCACATCCCCGGGCACCCCTTTCGGATGCAATCCGTCTGGGATGACCCTTCCCCGGCCCCGCCCCGAGGGCGGCCGCAGCCGGCATGGTAGGGAGAGGAAGTGAGGGGAGGGCGTGAATAGGGTGCAAATGGGGGGCTCGGAGGCAGTGCGGGGGGGCAGTTAGTGGGTGCAGGGTGGATGGTCTCAGTGCATGGGCTGCAGGCGGGGGATTACAGTCACCGCATGGGTGCCGGGGGGGGTGTCAGTGCCCGGGGCAAGGATGAGGCTGTGCTCAGCGTGGAGGGGCTGGGAGTGCGCGGTGTCCACGGTCCCTGCCAGGCTGGCACAGCCCTGGTCTGCGGTGACCTCTGAGCCCAGTCCCCGGACATGGGGGCACAGGCACCTGCAGCCCCAGCTACGTGGGGCTCGCTGTGGCGCAGCAAAGTCCCAGCAAGAAGCCTGGGAAAGTTGCGGTGTGGGTGCATGCCCTGTGCCGTGCCTGCGCGGGCACCCTGCGGCTGCTTGAGGAATAAACCCGAGGCCAAGGGACGGGACCCATGGCGGTTGCTGCCTCTCCCGGCTCGTAACAGCAGCAAGCACAAAACAAAGTCGTGAGGCGTTTCAGTCCCCATCAGCGCAGCGTCTTGGCCATGGCACCTCCTGTGATAACTGAGGATGCTCAAGACGTGCGAGCTCGGGTCCTCGTCCTTGTCAACAGCCGAATGACTAGGAACGCTCTCTCCTTCGGTTCTGAGGGAGGATGGCCACTTCCGTGCTGGTGACCCATGGCGTACACATCCGGCGCGCCCTGCGGAAGAGGGCAGCATGCTGGGAGCTGTAGTCCGGACCTCGCCTCCGGCCCGGCACTGGTCGCCTGTGCAAGTCCCTCACCCAGACAGCCTTTGGCCCACCTGCTCCTCTTGCCGCCGGGTAACTCCGCGGCACCCCAGTGCTGCGGGCACTCTGGGATCACTGTGTGCCCGAGTGTTTGGGCAGGCATAGAGACCGTCACAGGGAAGTGCGGGAAGCGGCAGTGTTCGCGGGCAGCGTGCGCTGCTGCCGGCACTGTGCCGGCACTAGTGCAGGCAGGGAACGGTGCGTGGCTCACATGGAGCACGGGGATGCTATGTTCAAGCAGGAGGGGGGCTGTAGCACCCCACTGTCCGTCCCAGTGCAAGCAGGGCAGCTTAAATGTTAATTTGAACGTAGAGGTCTTGCCATCCTAAGGGTAGCAAGCACTGGAAGACGCTGGGAAGGCAGCAATTACATTGCTGTGCGTCTGCTGGTGCATTTGGGGTGCTTATTGTGAGCTGGGGTAGAAACTGCCCAGAGCTCCCCAAAACGCCCGCCCATGCAGTGCTGCATGCATGTTAAGGGAGGTGTGTGACCAGAGCTGGCTGAGCACCCTCACCTCCCGGCTGCGAGGTGGGGCTGGCATCATGAAGGGGTGGGCAGGTACCAAGGGTCCCTGTGAGGCCACCCCAGAGCTTGGAGTCTTCCTGGGTTTGGGTAAGGCAGAGACATGATTGCTCTTTTGCAGATGGAGGGCTCTGAGGAGCTGGAGAGCAGCCTCCTGACACAGCCCTGGGCTTCTGTTTGCCTTGGCGAGTCCACTTTCCTTGCCAAAGTGTGCTTTAGAGATACTGGCTACATCCTGCTGATCTCTGACCTCAGCAGCGTCTGGTACGAGAGTGCAGATGCCAAGGCCGTGGGACAAAGGTCCAAGGTGAGTGTCTGGAAAGTCCAGGGACCTCCTTTTCTCCTCACAGCAGCTGACATTCCAGCATAAACTGCTTGGTGGGACAATGGCTGTTGGATCTGACAAGGCTGGGGTGCAAATGCCTGGCCTGGAAAGTCCCTGGGCAGCTCTGCCAAAGCAGTACTACCCTGAACAGCCAAGCACTCTCCTCCTGGGAGAGTGGGCTAAGCTATTGAAGATGCCTATGGCAGCTAGGTGTTCACTGCGGCTGTGTGCTGAGGCTGGCACACTGGTTTCTACTGTGGGCTGAATTAACAGCTTGTTTCCTCAGGACCAGTGCTAAGGAGGAGCTTGAAACAAGGCTGCCTTCCCACCAGTGATGGGGAGACTCCTGCTCACATTCAGAGGAGACATAGGCTCTCATGGGATTTCCTGTTATCATGGCCCCCGAAACACATGGGGCCACACCTCATCCCCTCACCCCAGCGTGTGTCCCCCGCCACCTAGGTCACCCCTGCCTGCCATGTCCCTCTGCCACAAAGTGCTGTGCTGAGCAGCTGCTGGCAGGAGGGGTGGGCATGCAGGGACAGCTATCTCCCAGTGCTGGCAGGTTACCTGAGCTGTGACAGCTCTTGGCCAGCCTGAGACACTCATGGTGGCATGTGGGGCAGATGCACTAGTGGAGACCATTGCACCCTGCCCACCACTCAGACTTCTGGTTTGGCAGTGCAGGGGAGCCTTCACGGCTTGGCTGTGGAATATCCTGTCACAGGGCTAGAAGCTGAGGCCCAGGGATGGCTTTTGCAGCAGTGGGACATGCAGAAGTAGTTTGGCTCCTTCTGTGCTGGAATTTCTCCTGCTTATTTCCCAGTGCCGAGCTCCCAGGGCATTGCTGTACCCCTAAACTTGCCTTTCCTCAGGAGCTGAACAAGCGGCTGACAGTCCAGGTGTCTTCCTTCCTGCACCACTTGCGCAAGCTGATGCACCCCTTGCTGGCAGGGCAGCCGGATGCTACCACCTCCTTCTCCTACCACCACACTGCCAGCGGGCTCAGCCTGCACGTGAAGAGTGAGCTCTTAGGACTGCCCTTCCACTGGGACTTCCACTGCTGCCCTGCTCCTGTGGAGATGGTGAGTGAAGCTGTGGAGAGTTTTGGGAGGGGAATGGCCAAAATTAAGGATGGTCTCCTAATGCTTGGAAGCTTCTGGGTGGTCTTGGGCTGCGCTGGTGGCTGTCGGGTGCCTGGCTCTGCCTATGGCTATGATTCTATGGCTGACCCTCCCATGGAATCATAGAACTGTTTGGGTTGGAAAGGACCTTAAGAGAGTCTTGTTCCAAACCCCCTGCCATGAGCAGGGACACCACACCCTAGACCAGGTTGCTGAAGGCCCTGTCCAGCTTGGCCTTGAACACTGCCAGGGATGGAGCATTTACCACTTCTTTGGGCAACCTGTTCCAGTACATCACCACTCTTACAGTAAAGAATTTCTTCCTTCTATCTCATCTAAATCTCCCCTGTTTAAGTTTAAACCCCTTATCCTTTGTCCTAATGCTATAGTTCCTGATGAAGAGTCCCTCTCCAGCATCCTTATAGGCCCCCTTTAGATACCGAAAGGTCTCCACGACCTAGATCTTCAGATATTATGAGGTGTCCATGCAGCCTTTTCTTCTCCAGGCAGAACAGCCCCAACTTTCTCAGACTGTCTTCATACAGGAGGTGCTCCAGCCCCCTTATCCTCGTGGCCCTCCTCTGGACTTGCTCCAACAGCTCCGTGTCCTTCTTATACAGTTCCATGTCCTTCCTGTGGTTCACTGTCCCAATCTCTTCCCACTGAAGCTTTGGCTCCTTGGTTGGTGTCTTGCAGCAAGGCAAGGACGGTCCAGCAGATGCTGGTACCAGGGCAGCAGGGAGATGTCCAATTTGGGATGATGCCCTGCCAGCACCCCGCACAGTAGAGTGATGCTGTTCTCCTTTGGTGCATGCCATGATACGGGGCACAGAGCAGTGGGTACCCCCAAAGGACCCGCAGGCACTCTTGTCACAACTGAGGGAATTAAAGCGGAGTCTCCCTGGCTTTTAAGAGGCTGCTCTTACCACGGGGCTGCCCAGCATTGAGTTTCGGG